ATGGTGGCAGTTACCCTGTTGAAAAAAACAGCATATGCTGGTTAGGTATGTTTTGACGCTGGGATGCTGGTTTATTCTGGTCCTTTGCTGGTTTAAACTGATCCTTTGCTGGTTTAAGCTGGTCCTTTGGTGGTTTATGCTGGTCCTTTTGCTGGTTTATGCTGGTCCTTTACCAGCACATGACCAGCATAAACCAGCAAAATGACCAGCATAAACCAGCAAAGGACCAGCATAAACCAGCATCCCAGCGTCAAAACTTACCTAACCAGCATATGCTGGTTTTTTCAACAGGGTAATGATCAATTATTTAACCATGTTCCAAATCACAGCTGCCATTAAATGGATTTTCCAACATGGTTGGAGGCACCCTCCATAATTTGCACCCTGAAATATCCACAAAAATACATTACCCAGTCCTCGAAGTGTTTGCTGCCGTTTTGCAGCAATTCCTCGAACTGAATGGTGCAGTTGGCTACAAAGTCGTCGTAGCCAATCGGCGCGTCGTGAAACACCGACAGCTCGATCTTGCGGCCGTCGTGCACCTCGGTCACAAACTCATCGTGCCAGACGGGACTGTTGGTCTTCTGCTTGGTCGAGGTCTGACCTACGCGAAAATCATCTACGTTGAGGGCGATGTACGTGTCCAGCAGGAAGGTCTGCGTCTTGGGACCGACGGCGTGTCTCAGAGACCAGGCTGTGGGCTTCAGGTCCAAAGCCTCGCAGATCTTAATCTTCAGCAGACCGTTAAAAAACACCATGGCCACTTTTGAAAGCTTTAGTAACAATATTCCACTTCAGCGCCTGGTTAATTATTCAACCAGTGTTTGCCACGGTCCACCGGTTTGTGATTGTTTCTCCTTATGAAATAACGGTAAATGCCCTTCTTCGTCCTCGTGGATCTGCATGCAAAGTGTAGAAGGTCCTCCGGACAGAAAGAGAATCTATTGCTATGATCTACGGACAACCTGCATGTGATCTTGAAGCTGTCCAAACGGCGCTGTAGGCAGTCAGCAATGCAAGTTGGATTGAAAAAGGACAGCTACAGTGTATCAGCAGCGATACGACCAGCATTCCACACCTCAAAATACGCCAGAAATATATGCTGGATCTCCTCAGAGTGAGCAGCCCGTTCCCTCGTCTGGCTGAAGCGCTGGATGTGTCTCCTCCGCGCATTGGGAGGAAAGTTATCCTCGCAAAAGCGTCTTTCGGTTCGCCCTAGACAGGAGAACCAGTGTTTACAAGGGTTCCGTACTCGCTTGCTTTTTCCAGGATCCTTGTTTGTCCGTCGGTACTCAGTTTCCTGCAGACCTGCCTCTTTTTCTCCCGACTGCGTGTGTGTGTGTGTCTGAAGGCTGGTCCAGGAAATGCGCAAAACACGTCAGTTATTGCGCGGAGGGCTGAGTGAGTGCGGCACTGCTGGAACCGCTGCTTCGGCTCTGGTCAAGCATCACCCACAGGGCTGTAAAGATGAAGCGTGTGTGTGTGTGTGAATACCAAGTGTGAATAATGCACCCTGCTGAAGTCATGCAATGCAGACGACCATACGGACCGTATGAAGACCGCCGGTCTTAGTCATAATTCTTAAGTCATTTTTTACTTGTTTATATCATTAATGATTATTTGAAATCACATGATCTACCTCCATGCCATTGCCATTTCAGTAGCAATGTATGGATGTGTTCCTTTTCTTGCATAAGGTTGTTTACAATGCTGTACTGTGCACTGCAAAAAGAGATGTGTTAAAAATGACACATGTTGTGCAGCATTTTAACACATGTGGTGAGTGTGCTCAGGGACAACACCTTTTAAACGCTATTATGCACATAATAATCACATATAGCAGAGGGACGAGAACAAAAACAAAATACCTGGCTTACCTCTCCAGCATTCGTTTGGGGTAGGGCTCCTGTGAGCTTTTTATGTGCTACCATATGAAATATATGTATTGTATTTATTTCCATAAACACAAACTGCCCGCCCAGGAGATAACACATTTATTGTGTCAATCTGTCCAAAGGCTTTTTTTTTTTTTAATTACACATTGTGTGTTAAAATCCTACACAACATGTGTCAGAATGCTGTCAACACAACCATGTGTGTTGTTTTTTGACATATCTGTTTTTGCAGTGTGAGAACTGCAGTGGAAAATAAATCTTTAGCCGTTTTTCTCCACCACATTAATTTTTCTGATTGAGTTGAAACTCTGAAAATTCACAAAGGCGAATACAACGTTATTGTAGCAAGTTAAGTGGATGCAAGCCAAGATGACCTAATTTTACAGTGTGTAATTGCAAGAAAAAAAAGTAATTTAACTAGATGAAGACATGTTTTCGTGTATCATGTACATTAAAGTGTGTAAAACAAAAAGTGATAATTTGTTACACTTGATCTGAGGACAGACTGACAACAGGTTTGTTCTTGAAAATGTGATATGTTGAGGTCCACCTTCTCAACATCAGTAGTCAACCAAAAGCGCCATCTCGTGAATGGAATTTCTATTACAGCATAGATGGTGTTCGATGATCATACGAAGTATTATTAAGAAATTATAACTAATGTGTGCTGCCTACTGTTGCATCATTCATTTAAATGTCAGTGTGCCATCAATGGCGTCATGAAAGCGCATATCAATTTCTTAAGCGTGTTTTACAAATGCTTCCCTGTTCTCTTTTCTTGAGATGCTCCATAGTGTAAAACATTTTATTTAGGAAACAGTTTTTGCTCAGGGTGAATTTAAAATGTGATAGAGGAGCTCTGTCTCTATCATTTAAACAACTTTTATGATAACGATTAAGATTAAAATCACATTAAGTGAGTTAAAAAATCCAGTAGATGGCAGTGTCCTTATAGAAGTATTAGGTTGACAGTTACTGTATCTGCATTATATTGCTTTGCCTTCTAAACTGTTAGCATCTTTTGAGTAGATCGCTTGATCAGGTTAATTCAAGTAAATTGTATATGAGCATACATACATATTCCATTTTCAAATATACGGAATGTATAATTTAAAAACATAAAAAAGATACAGAAAGCATTATGTAGAGACAAGGAAACAAGATACAATGTATGCAATGACCATTAAAAACTCCATTATTGCAGCATGCTTTATTACAAATACTTGTATTAATCTGTTTTTGTCTTATAACCCACATTCTGGGTTAGTTAATGCTTGTATCCCTTTATTTTGGTTCATGATGTAACCACAAGCATGTTTGCTCAGTTCACAACACTAGATTTGCAGTGACCAATAAGGCTGAGCCACTGGAGAAAAGCTCTCTCAAATATTATTTATTGAACAGCATACCACTCTATGGATAAAAGCACCCGAGACCCATCTGAACACTAATTCAGTTGACCAAGAACAGTTTTTATGAATTTATTGTCATTAATGTAAGCGCAAGTATAGGTCAGAATCACTAAAGTGCAAAATTATGTTGAATAAAACTGGGACAATAGCTACTACTAAAATTACATCACATATACATTACATGCCATAAAACAGATTTTACATATCAAAGGTTGACAGTCTTTTTAAATATTTAAAATGGCATCAGCTTTAGAAAACTCTCCGTTTAATGCATTTCATTTTGAGCTGTGTGTCCTTTTGTTTCAGACACAATAATTAGATGAGTGATGTCTGCTGGAGGATGAATGGTGATGTTGTTTCGACATCAGGACTTTCCCTTAAGGCTAATGATTCTCAGCCTGCAATGACATTAGTCGAAGATGTTCTAGCTCAAACTACGGCCTCACACAAATCTAGCATGTGGTGTGACTCCAAATGATGACATCACCAGTAGGAGGAAAATTAATGCCCCTTTGAGACACTGATAGTGCAGGGTTTATGAGTGTGTAGGCTCTGTGTTGCAAGAATAGAAGCAGCCATTTAGGGCTCTTTGAAGGTCTTAAATCTTACTTCATTCCACCCCAAAAATGCCAGTGTCTATGTTCATATACTTAGTGCATTAGAAATCACTGTCGGCAACTGCCAATAGTGGAAATCAGACCTCTGTGGACAATGCTTCTTTGTTTGGACATAAATAGACACATGAAAGGCCGTTCTGAACAAACTTAAACCTCATGGCCAGAATCATATGTAACATGGCACATTCAATTTCGTGCATCAGTTTGGATTATGTAAAAAAAAAAATCATAACATTCCCCATATGTGAATTAGAAAACTGTATCTTCTCTAATAAATCATATAGGCATACATTTATGGGTGAGCATTTTTGCCCCGCTGGACTTTTAGTGTTTCATAAAACACAATATTTGCTCTCTGATTACACAGGAAAAAAAAAAATCTGGTAAAAACAGGGAACAATGTATTCTATTAATATGAAGGAAGTTTCCGTATTTATTTTTAACAGGTGTTTTACCTGTATTAGAATTTTACACTTGATTACATTTGTTTAGGGTCAACAGAAATATCAATAAAATTACTAGATAATGTCCTGGCAAAATTATCAGAACATTTTCAGGGTTTTTTTTTTCTTTTCTTTTTCATTCACATCTCAAATTAATTGTAGTTAAACAGCATTCCATTATGGAAATTACATTAAAAAAATTTGAATAAAAAATTTGCTTAAAACCAAAAACTCTTTTTTATGTATCCATTAATGATTTTATGTATCCTAAATATGCAAAAGAAAGAAAAACCCACACTTTTTGACAAAAGCAGCTTGATTGATGCATAATGAAACAAATTCTCACTGTTCTAATAATAATCTAAACATTTATTTTTTTATTATAAACATTTATTATATATTTAATTGATATAACTGGATAAAATAAATATGAACATAAATATTTTGCTTTTCAATGCTTAAGCCATATATTTGAATTTGTATATATTTATATCTTTTATTTTTTTATTGCTCTCTCTCTCTCTCTCTCTCTATCTATATATATATTAGTGCTGTCAAATGATTCATCGCGATTAATAAAAAACATCCAAAATAAAAATCCAAAATAAAAGTTTTTGTTTACATAATATGTGTGTGTACTGTGTATATTTATTATGTAAATATAAAAACACACGCGTACAGCATATATTTTTGAAAATATTTACATGTATGTATATATTTATATAAATCATGTATAAATGTATTTAATATATAAACGTAACATATTCGTCTTAAATATATAGCCTACATGCATGTGTGTGTATTTATACTTAATAAATGTACACAGTACACACACACATATTATGTAAACTGTAAATTATGTAATGTGTAAACACATTGTTTTGAATGCGATTATAATCGTTTGACAGCGATATACGATATACATATATATATATATAGTAATTATTATGTGATATTGTCAACATGTGTGTGTATTTATACTTAATAAATGTACACAGTACACACACACATATTATGTAAACTGTAAATTATGTAATGTGTAAACACATTGTTTTGAATGCGATTCTAATCGTTTGACAGCGATATACGATATACATATATATATATATATAGTAATTATTATGTGATATTGTCAACATTTCCTTTTTAAGATTTAATGACATTATGGATCATAATCGCTCTCTCGCTCTCTCGATCTGCAATCTCATTGGTTGGCCACACGCTCGTCACTCCCCCATCCGTCGGAAGTGCGTTCTCCTCCTGCGTCTCCCAACAGTCTGAACCCGCCTGCGAGCTCGCGCTGTCGGCCTCCTCCTCACGCCTTTGCTCGGTTTGTCAAGCAGAAGCACGGGGTTGGTGGATCGGAGATCTGGCCTCGGATTATGCTGCCAATCCAACCGACCAGAAGGATGTGGGATTCAGCTGCTCTCCTGCTTTTTAAAAGCCAACCTCAGGAACCAGCACTTCTGTGTTTTATTCGCCAGGGTTGAGCGTATGTGGGACAGTAGCGAGTCTAACAGCCTTCAGACAAAAGACGGCTGCGAAGTAATATTCACAAATAAAAAGGGTAAGTACGCCAGTTTGCGGTGTCCGCTCTCTGGGTTGCAATGCGCCGTGCTTTGTGTATTTTAGCACGCGTTATTTCTAGCCGCTTTTATGCGTTATTTAATGTAACAGAACGCGAGTGATGTCACCGCTGCGTTTGCATGTTTCCCCTCTGCGAATGTTACAATGTAACATTCCAGCATCCTCCAGTGTGTCAGTGTGTGTGTGAGTCTCTCTCTCTCACTCGATACCTGCTCGTCACTTATAATACTGTAATTGAAATCGCCACAAACACAGCACACGTTTGATACTGAGTGTTATGTATCTGCCTGCGTTCAATAATATTAGCGTTGTTACGCACTGAAGGAAGGATAGACAGCAGGCTATACACTACTGTAGCATTGCGATTATATTGTCGACTGACGTCTTCGTAAACAGATACAAACAAACTAGCTGCTGAATCTACTTCGTAGCAGTCAGATGGTTCGGTTTCGTGTCATTGTCAGCTGCATGTAGTTTGTAGCTAATTGATATCACTTGGGTCCTAGTTATGGTAGTTAAAACGTGTCTAGTCCACCATCAAAATGTTGTTGAAAATTATGCGTGAGGGGAAAGTGTACATTTTTGACTTTTCCCCACGTTATTGCAGTCATTTTAAATGGTCGTTGTGACAGATTAATTATTTTTCAAAGTACAAATTCTCCATGTATTCACCTCAGAAATGGGGTTGACGCGAGTTTTTACATGACTGTTTCTTAAAATTGTACATTTGTTTGGCACTCAGAATTCGCAGAATATTGAAGTTGGTAAAGTTATGTCACGGGATACGCTCTTGCTCTAAGCCATTCCACGTCTTTGTCTCTGAAAGTAATGGTCCACAAATAACTATTCTTTACTTTTTTCCACCTTTCGAAAAAAAAAGCACACTTCCGCCCCTTAATGCTGTCCAAAAGCCAGGCCACTCATCTGGACCCCATGAGAATAGGCGTGTCGAACTGAGAGAAATTGCAGAGGATATTTTCTGGGTTTAATATGAGGCTGCTTAACAGCGGTAGTCTAACTTCGTCCAGTTTTTCTCTTTAGGGTGAAGCACTTGGGTGTAGTTTAGCTGCTTCTTCAGGAGGTCCTTATAGTGGATAAACAGATTATTTGTGTATTATGTGCTTTGATAATTACTTTTTTATTGCTTAAACTGTAGTAGTTTACATTTGGATATTGTGCCTTTGAATAGCTTAAATGTGCAAGATTACCTATTACATTTTCAGCATACGAATTTGATTTAGCACCCTGTACATTTGATCTTATTTTTTCAGTTTGGAGCAAGCATACAGTTGGACTGCATTTAGTTATGCAAGATATTTACAGTCACTGGTCCGTTTCGTGTGTTGATTAATACAGATCTGCAGCAACATTTCTATTTTTTATGTGATTATACTGTTTATTTGTGTTGTCATTTGTCTGTAGTTTCGCACTCTTTTTCTTTTCTCAATCTTACTCGCGCACACTGCTTCCTAACTCTTGCCACACATTGCAATACATTCAAGTAATCCATGTATGATGTATTATTTGTTTCCAAGGTAATATTAGCATAAATAAACAATACAAGCTTATGATGAGTCACTTCTTTAGAACGCTTTAGAGTCTCCTTTGATATCTGGCCAGAGTAATCAGTACACACTACACAGGGCAGAGGTAGATGAGCTGCTGAGCTCATGACACTCATTCACAATGGCACTTCATCCACGCACTCATGACCCACACCGCCAAATTGAAGTGCCTTTATGCATGAGAGCTACACGAGGAGTTTCATATCCCAAACTGCTGGTCTGATAATGACATGTGCTTGAGCTCTGGCCTTGTTAATTTTGGGGAACTCTCATGCTTTTCTGCATTTTCTCATCCGAGAGAGAGTTGGATCAGAGCAGTTTTTGAGAGAAGACAGACTGTCCCTATTTGACTGTCTAATTAGGAGTCTGAAGAAAAGGCTTCTGAAGAGAACTTCCACACGACACGCACAGTCACAGAAGTGAGTTATCCAACTGTTCTTATGTCTCATCTCTGCACTCGTTTATTAGCAGAAAGAAGGGCAAGACATTTGTTTGCTGAGGATGCATTGACATGTAGTGTGTCTGTCGGGTGTTCTTAAAGGAATAGTTCACCCCAAAAAAATGTAGTCATTCTCAGGCCATCCAAAATATAGGTGAGTTTGTTTCTTTATCCCAACAGATTTGGAGAAATTTATTCCATTCCATCACTTGCTTATCAATGGATCCTCTGTAGTGAATGGGTGCCGTCGGAATAAGAGTCCAAACAGATGATAAAAACATCACAGTAATCCACAAGTAATTCACACAACTCCAGCCCATCAATTAATGGCTTGTGAAATGAAAAGCTGTGTGTTTGTAAGAAAGAAATTCATCATTAAGGCATTTTTACTTTACATCATCTTTTTCGGCCAAGAGTCCATAATCCATAACACCTCGCCAGTGAAAAGTCTATCCCTTGTTGTCCTCTCACATAAAAATCCACCCACATATTTGTTTAGATGTTTTTGGACTCTAAATGGTGCGTGATTTGTGCATATTTCTCTCCTGATTCAGGTGAGATTACTTTTTCACTGGAGAAAGCAATATTATGGATAGAGGACTACTCTTTTGCCAGAATTGACTGTTTAAAGTTAAAAATGTCTTATTGATGGATTTATTTCTTACAAATATGCAGCTTTTCATTTCACAAGACGCTAATTGATGGACTGGAGTCATGTGTATTACTTGTGGATTATTGTGATGTTTTTATCAACTGTCTTAACTATGTTTCTGATGGCACCCATTCACTGCAGAGGATCCATTGGTGAGCAAGTGATGTAATGCTAAATAAACACAGTCAAATGGAGGAGCGCTAATTAAACATCACTGTTTCTGTCAATGGTTTCTGTCAGCCCTTCAAAACTATTCATTTAATTCCGAAAATTCATGTTTTTGCTGTTTCGGCTGAATATTTTTTGTTGCAGAATTTTGTGCATCACTATTATTTCTTTGCATTCCCTTTCATTGCATGGAAAGCATAAGCATGGGCACTTTGGCTAATATCTCCTTTGTTTAATGGAAGAAAGAAAATAATGCAGAGAAAGAAAGAAAATTAAACAACACGAGGGTGAGTAAACGATGAAAAAAAAAATAATAATTTTTTGAGTGAACTGTCCTTTCAACTAGTGTCTGTGAAGAAAGTCATTCTCAGAAATGTTCTTCAAAAAGTTAATTCACCTTTGATGTCCCAGGAACATTTTGGAGAGAATACCCGCTCTGTGCTTTCATTCTTGGAAGCCAAAGCTGTTTGTTTTTGGGAAAGTGATTTGCATAGTCAAGGAAAAAAATATGCCAACTCCCATGGAAAAACAACAAGGCTGATGCATCTGATATTGCGGTACATTAGAGATGTATTTGGAGGCTGAAAAGGTAGAGTTAGAAAAAAAGAGCGTGTGAAAAATAAAAGATTCCATGTCTCATCATGTCGTATATTTGAAGTGTTATATAAATGTTACTCAGCAGGTGCAATGTTATTTTTTGGCTGGCGATCAGCTACAGTAAATGTAAAATTGTTGATTTAGGGTGTGTTCACACTTGTAATTCGGTTCGTTTGGTCTGGACCAAAAAGGAAAATTATACATTTGGTCCTGGTCCGCTTAGCATTCACACTGGCATTTTTGACAGCGAACCTAAAGACAGCGAACCTAAAGGCATAGTGATACGTTCACAACCTGATTGGTTGGCTTGAATGACGTATATATATCGTGAGTCGTGACGGAACTCACCAAACACCCCAAACAAAAGGTGTGTTAAAGCGGCGCTGCGGGTGTATGATATCAAAGCATCCATTAACCGATCGGTCTACTCAGTAGGCCTGTCACGATAACAACTTTTTGTTGTGCGATATATTGCACCAGAAATAATTGCGATAAGCGATATTGTCATTTTAAAGACCATTTTATGCCACTGAATATATAATCATAATGTAACAGCATAATAATACAAGAAGGCCTACACACTTCCAAATGACAACAAACTT